GCTTATTTAATGAATCATAACAGGATTTAAACAGGATGTACATATTGTCAAGAACATTTGCACATATAGAAGAAATATTTGATGTACTCCATTAAATAAAATTGGATCGATCCATACCATCTTGGGTTTGCTAGTGCCTGTCAGACGCGCATCGCTAGTTCACAATGAATGGGTGAGTGAGTTTAGCCAAATTACAGCAATTTCACGGCGGGGGACACCAGAAATGGGCTTCATGCATTGTATCCGTATGGAGAACCGAACCTTTAATCACTAGGTTAGCCCACAGCCCTCAGGGTTTAGATAAAAACCCTCAACAACAGATAATATTTATATTTTACAATCACCTTGTCAAAATTCTTTGCAAAATGACAAAGTTAAAAGCTTGTATTGGTCACGACCATAAGCAGACGGAAATGTTCCCAACTTCATCTGTATCGATTACTGTGTTAGTTATTGATGCAGTATGCAGCCTCATTGATATCCCCGAGCTTGTGATGGTGATGGTAAACCGGGATGCTGGTGTTCGTATATTGCTTCTATCGACCGCCTTATCCTATGCCTAGATTTGGCAATATTTCAGCAACCCTAAACCTTTCATCAGCAAGTTGTCCTAAAGATGTTAATATACAGTTTGAAAATTGGCACGCTAGAAACTTCTCTTTCTTTATAAAAAGCTTTGCTAAACACCGAAATGTATATCATCGAACTGTTTAATCATACGGGTTTATTACCCATATTCTACAAATTTGAATTTCAGTCACATAAATTAATGATGAATAAGTTGAGGTTTGGCGCTAATATTGACTGTAATCAACTATTGTATTCAAATTGTGATCCACAGCAAATTGAGTATGTATTTTACTTTGTATCTATTATATAAATCATAATATATATATAAATATATTATCGTCCTCGAACAACAGAATTATCAGAAAACTTGCCTTGTTTTTATAAAAATGGCTTGCAAATGTAATTGTACAACCATCCCTGGGGCACAAAACATCTTTTACTGTATATGCAAGTACTTTTGGCCTTGAGGTGTGTACACAAATAAACTTGTCTTGTTTTGCAAATGACATTGCAGATTATAAGATTGTTCAGCAAGGTTTCTTGTTGACGATACATCGCTCGCAGGAGCTTATGAAGAAAACACCATCATTGAAAAGTTTGAACTTGAGAAACATTAGTGGCTGCGGGAAAGATTGCCTGATCATATGATCAACAGAAACCGAAATTGTTTCTCATTGAACAATTACATCTTTATTTCAACGGGAAACAAAATTGTAATGAAAATAAAGGACATATATACTATTCAAAAAGAAACGCATGACCCAGAAATCTGTTGCGAAAATGTTGTATTTTCAAACACGTACTACTCGTCCACAAACAGACTTTAGGAAATGATGTTTTGCATCAGTTTAGAAGAAGGAATGTCCATACAACCAAGTGGATAATTTTAGATAAGAGATTTAGATTTAAGATAGACGCCGAGCGCCATGGTGACGACGTAGCACGAACCTAGCGTCGGATCTCCTGGCTCTCAGTCCAATCTCTCTCAACCTGCTCCGTACAGTTTGACCGGATATCCTCCGAAGTCCAGGCACCCTGGCTGCTGTGCTCTCACCCGTGGCAGTACGATCACGCAAATGTAGTACCCGGATGTACCGATCTTGGGCTACAGTGGTGACTCGAGGTCTGAATAGGAGGGTCATTTGCAATACCTGTTTGGTTGTAACGAGCTGTAAGCCGTGATATCGTGCCCAGACTAACATTCAGACGCCTGGCAATAGAGGATTGGCAATCTCCAGCGTGCATTCTCTCAATGGCGATGTTCCGTGTCGCAGCGTATATGGCGATATGGCGTAGTGATTTGACCTTGAAACCTTATCAAAACGAATGCCGATTTCCGACAGTAATCTGGATTTTTATAGACAGACAGTGCATGTTCTTTGCCGCACAATTTCAGCTGGTAGGTGATTTCTGTTGCGTTGTGGCGATGCCTCTTTAATCCTTGTAAGATATCTCATCAAAATCAACATTTTCAGGTAAAGTCGATTTTTTAACTTGTGGAATTGTGTAAAATCATGTTAGCAACACTTTTGTTACATATTTTGACGATTGTTTGAACTCAATGCGTAATTGATAGATTTTTAAACATACAAAACGCCTAAGCGTTTCTTTTTTAATATATATTTGGGTACTACATTTACCTCCAATACCATGTTTTAATATGACAAGGGATGATGGGGTAGCGTAGTAGTTAAAGCGTTCGCTCGACCCGGGCTCGTTTACCCACATGGGTACTATGTGTGATGCCCATTTCTGGTGTGCTCCGTCTTGATGTTACTGGAATATTGCTAAAGCGGCGTAAAACTAAACTCACTCAGAGTGACGAACGCATACTTTCAAACCGAAACCTGAGTCTCATGAACCAATTCCGACAATGACCTACTTTTCAGCCGTTCCGAATTTTCTCGTGTGAAAGTGAAAAGAGACAATACAAACAACTATGGTTACACGAAATTCCACTTCCTTGTTTCATAAGAAAATAGTAATTACAAATGAATTTTAAATTCAAACTTTAAAAACATCCAGTGATCAACAGCATGAGCATCAATCTACGCAATTGGGATACGATGACATGTGTCAACTAAATCAGCGAGCGTTAATTGTAATTCAGGGTGGTATATGTATACATTATGCAAGAACCTGTTAAACTGATTTTCACATCTAATTTCAGTACGTAATAAACGTCTTATCCATATTTAACTGTAAATAATATGCACTTTATTTATACAGAAACATTTCATGTTAAACGTTTTAAAATTCTAAACATGTTAAACTCTGCTTGTATTCTAGACCGGTACCGGCCAAAAACCCTTCAAGACAAAAGCCCCTTGGTATAAAAGCCCCTCGATCAAAAGTCCCTCTGGACAAAAGCCCTTCGCTAATTTGAGTACCCCTGTCAAAAGGAAAGGAGAAAATGTGATAATTGTTTACTTGGAAAGTCTGCAACCTATAAAGGAATTGGTATTTTGATGATATTTCTTTCTTATTCACTAAACTTATTTGCTAATAACATATTAATTTATATATTATTTAGGGTCATTATATTATGAAGCAATAAAATGTTTCATGTCATTAATCATTTCTTGTCTCTAATCTTAATTTCCCATTAATACGTAAAGTGGGGGGCTTTCGGTCATTTTTCGAGGAACGTTTGTCCTGAGGGGCTTTTGTACCGAGGGGCTATTGTCCTGAGGGACTTTTGTACCGAGGGGCTATTGTCCTGAGGGGCTTTTGTACCGAGGGGCTATTGTCCTGAGGTGCTTTTGTACCGAGGGGCTATTGACCTGAGGGACTTTTTAACCGAGGGGCTATTGTCCTGAGGGACTTTTTTACCGAGGGGCTATTGTCCTGAGGGACTTTTGTACCGAGGGGCTATTGTTCTGAGGGACTTTTTTACCGAGGGGCTATTGTCCTGAGGGACCTTTGTACCGAGGGGCTATTGTCCTGAGGGACTTTTGACCTAGACTCATTCCAGAAGATTGTTGAAAGATGTTGAAATGTGCTTAAATTCTAAACATGTTTTAACGTGTTTAAATTGTAAACATGTTTAGATAATGGGAACATTAGATAGATGAGAGACGATACTTCACTTCATATGTTTGTCTCTAAACGTGTTTAGTGTGAACACACCAAATCGGTATTCTGTTTCCCTAAACATCTAACCATGCCTTGTATGTGTTAGGATTCTAAGCACATTTTCACAGTGGACCAAACGTCAGAACATTCAGTTGTCATAAAGGTACAATTAATAGCTACACGAGCATTTAATTTTGATCATCACGTTTTTTATTTGTTTCTTTGTTTTTGTTTTGTTTTTCGTTTGTTTGTCTTATTTTTTTATTATTTTTTTATGTAATATATCGACGGAGTGGTACAAGTGTAGCAGGTACTCTTATAGGGCATTTCTCCGGATTACAGCGTCATGGTATAAAGCTTCACCGCCCATACATTCACCTAAGCAAGTTTATATCTGGGGAACAATACAACGGTCAAGGACAATATAACCCTGTCCAGAATTGGGTCCATAGAAGAAGATTGTAGAATTACATAAAATTACGCAAGAGAAACAGCGAAACTCTAAGAAAAGACTATCCTTCTACTCATGTCTCAGCAAACATAAATGCTGTTTACGAGTTTCAGAATGAAGTGAAGGATAACTTGGACGATGTTAGTAACTTCACTGCAAAGGTATTGCGAGTTCTAGGCTGCATATAGGAAGAGTGCCCAAAGCCACACAGTCAATCATGAACAAAGGTAGAACACATATATCTCAGTCACAAAAATAGATGCATTACATGAAGGTGCTTAAAATGTACCTTCATTATAATGTGAAAGGAAGAAGCAGAGAACGTAGACTAATCCAGGTCTCCCACAGGTCAGAGAAAAGTCAGGGAGTTTCGGCTTTTCTCTGAAAATCTAGGGTTATGTTCAGGGAAATCTAGGGTTATGGTCAGGGGCAGGGAAATCTAGGGTTATGGTCAGGGAAATCAGGGGTTATGTTCAGGGAAATCTAGGGTTATGGTCAGGGAAATCTAGGGTTATGGTCAGGGGCAGGGAAATCTAGGGTTATGGTCAGGGGCAGGGAAATCTAGGGTTATGGTCAGGGAAATCTAGGGTTATGTTCAGGGAAAAATTACGACTAATCAGTTATGGTCGTATGATTGCTAATTGTGAATGCCCCTTTTGTTCAAGTGTCATTGTTAAAGTACAGTATACGTTTAAATAATATGACCTATGTTCTGACATTTGCTGTTTATCTAAAATGAATGTCACGTTTCTAAAAGTCACAAAGCAAGACAGCTAAAAGGGATATGCACCTCTTGCCTCATGAGCACCTATAGAGATTACTCTTTCTTTCTCTTACAGCTGTCTTTGGTGGTAGAGATATATCTACTAAATGTGCTTTTTATATGTTGTATTTCCTTTTACAGGCTCTTCCTGTCACCGGATACTAACATTAAGATCGCTCACTTTTCTTGCTTTCTTAACAAAGGTAATTTAAGTCTTGAGTTGGGTATTGCATGGTATTCCCTTTTTAGATCAGTAGATCGTAGATGACAGGCTTGTGGACTGGTGATAGACTCTTTAAATACAACAGATAAGCAACAGTTAAACAATCATGAGTAGCAAGAAAATTCTGACGGGCTCAAAAATCCAAACTTCAAGGACTGGATTGGAAAAGACAGTAGTATTCATTACAAGGCTCGGTGGTTTGAGGTTTGATCTAAGTAACATGGGAAAAAGAGCTCTTACTAGCCATGGTTCACGAAAGAAACACACAGTGAAACTGGGCATTGAAACACAAATTAAACAGGAAATCCGCCCTTTCAGTATGCACCAGGGGCCATGTGTGATGCAGGAAGTGCAGCATCAACAGCAACAGCCATAGACACAAACATTGCTGAAACTGAAACACTCCATACACCTCCACTACTAACCTTACTGAAGTGTACGGTAGATTATTTTCCAAAATCATAAGTAACAGATTGACTCTTGGGGCTGAGCGGGAAGAATTTCTCATCCCAGAACAGGCAGGCTTCAGACATGGATTCCAAACCCATGATAATATATTTATACTTAACTCTATCATTCAGAGGTACCTCTCTCTGCATAAAGGGAGACTATACTGTGATTTTATTGACCTGAAAGCTGCGTTTGATTCAGTTGATAGGAATAGCCTTTTTTATAAACGGTGGATGGGAAACGTTAAAGGCAAAACATTTAGATTGCTTAGAAACATGTAGAATTCTGTTAAATCATGTGTTTCCATGAATGATGGTTATACAGCCTTCTTCGATTGTTCTCATGGCGTCCGTCAAGGGTGCCAACTATCTCCTTTTCTATTTTCATTCTTCGTGAATGATATTGTTGAAAGCCTAGCATCAGATAATCAGAGATGTATCAATCTAGAAGTTATTGAACTATTCAAACTCCTTTTTGCCGACGACATTGTACTTTTTGATTTTTCAGTCTGTGGTTTACAAAAGAGATTAGATAAGTTAGTTACATATTGTGACCAATGGAAACTTAAAATTAATGTAACCAAGGGTAAAATAATCGTGTTTAGAAAAGGTGGCAGATTAAAGAACTGTGAAAAGTTCTTTCTTAATAATAACACCTTAGAAATGGTCACATCATACAAGTATCTTGGGGCTCATCTGTCAAGCTCAGGCTCAAGGTATATCACTCAAAAAGTTTTGGCCAAACAAGCATGGAAAGTTCTATCTATACTTAGATCCTCAATACCTAACTTTTCTAACCTACCTATACATGTCTTGTTTCAAATATTTGATGTGAAAATTCTACCAATTCTGCTATATGGCAGTGAAGTATAGGGCTTTCACACATCACCTAACGTTATGAATATTCACGACAAATTTTGTAAACAAGTTCTTTGTCTTCCAAGAAATACCCCAAATATTTTTGCCCGTGCTGAACTTGGTAGACACTCATTAAAGGTAAATATGTATTGTAAAATTATTAAATATTGGACTAGATTGATCTCCCAAGATGATAATGTCATCTTGAAGAAAGCATATGAGTATCAATATAGCATTGCAGAGAAAGGACGCCAATGTTGGGCATTGAATGTGAAAACTATTTTAAACCGTTATGGATTGGAAATGTCTGGTTTTACCAGAATGTGGGAAATATCACTGTTTTCATGTCTATATTTAAACAAAGATGTATCGACCATGACAACCAGTCATGGAAGGATGATCTTCTGTGCTTTTCAAAACTCGACTTTCTACATAATATTAAAGATAATGTCTCCTATGAGTTTTACATCAGCCATATCAAGACTAAAGTATTTCGTATTGCTGTAAGTAAATTCCGAAGCTCCAGTCATATATTGATGATTGAATACGGTAGACGGCTTGGTCTTGAGCGAAGTGATCGCTTGTGTCCTTTCTGTATCATTCCCACTGTTGAAAATGAATATCATTTCTGCCTTGAGTGTCCATTTTACAATGGTATTAGAGAAAATACAATTCCCAAATATTACTATAATCTCCCATCACATGAGAAGCTGTTTCAACTGTTCATGTCAAGGAATATAATTGTCATTAATATTCTGGGAAAATATTTATACCTAGCTCTTAAAAAACGTAATACGTTTTTGCGATTGTGATATCTCTATATCCTGATGTGTATCCTGCTCCGTAGCATCCATGTTAATAATTATATTGGCGCTTGATAAACTGTGCGCATGGTACAACATGTATAATGGGCCTGTGGCCCCTTTATTGAAATAAACAACTCTCTCTCCCCTCGACCACCAGATACTGGACCTGCAGCATTGGACAAGGCAACTTCAGGAACTGATGCCAAAGCTGCAATATCAACATTATTGACAAATGACCAGGTTCTGAAGTCAGAAGTCCTCTGGTCTGCTAAAACTGTAGTAAACCATAACTCTTTCTCCTCCAGTAACAACATGGATAAACTGTTTGTAAACATGTTCCCAGAAAGCACAATCGCAGAGATTCTTGTGGCTCTACAAAGGTGTCCTACTTGATAAAGTTTGGCCTTGCTCCTTACTACTATGATCATCTACTAGAGAAAATGCAGGAACCTCGGTTAAAATGTATTGTATACTTTGATGAGTCTTTAAATAGACAACTACAGAAATAACAAATGGATTTGCTGCTAAGGTTTTGGGACAGTGATAAGAAGATGATAGTAAGCAGATACTTTGACTCTGAATTCCTAAGACACACTAGAGCAGATAACTTGCCGGACAACTTATTGAAGGGGATATCAAAACCTGATATGTCAAATCAATTAGAAGGTCTTTGAAACTTTGATAAAGCAACGTGGAAGCTCATCACCAGACTTAGTATGACACACCATACCAGTTGGAAGCTGTAGACTGCATGTAGTTCATGGAGCATTCAACAGACAAGTTGGAACCTTGACTGTCTTTAAAGATCAATGTATTATGGTTTCAATGAGAGCCCTGCATGGCGTGAGAAATACCAGTCACTGACTGGATCTGCCCAATTTCCCAAGACATTTTGCAGCACACACTAGCTGGAGGACATAGATGTAGCTGAGAGAGCTCTTGATATGAGTGCACACCTGAGGAAATACATTCTAAAAGTGAAAATGTTACCAAAGAGCCAGATCCCAAAGTGTCAGTCGTTCCACAACATGATGAAATATTTACAAGATCCTCTCATTGATGCTTCATTACCATAGCCAGGACTTTGAAGCCTTTTCTACAAGATTTCCAAACTGACACACTAATGATGCCATTTATCTCTCAGGAGTTCAAAGACATTCTCCTATTCTTTCCAAATTCATTAAGAAATATGTTCTTGAGGGGAATACTGACTATGAGCTGACTCAAATTGATGTTAGGAAGAAGGAAACCTTGGAAGGTTGAAATTGGATTCGCTGCAAAGCAAGAAATTACAGAACTTGAAACTTCCAAGAAAGCAAGTGAACTTCAAATATTTACTTTCTTCAGTGAAGTTGTCTTATTCCTGCAGGGTTGTCAGGTAAACATCATGAAGAGAAGTCCCTTAAAATATTCCGTGGTCCGTGCACTTTCATCTTTCGATCCACGGTTCATGATGAATAATCCTGAGAGGGCATGCAAGAAATCTGAAGCAGTACTACAGACGTTGCTTCGGCTGAAATGGCTGGAAGCAGCTATGTGTGGTGATGTTCTGAGAAAGTACAAAAGATGGCTTAGTGAGATGGCAGATCATGACAAAGAAAGTTTTCTATCTTTCGAGCCCAAGTCTGATAGACTTGATACATTTTCCACACACGTATTGGAGAGGATCAAGATTTTGTGGAATGTAGTTGTCATGCTACTTGCTTTATCACATGGACAGGCATGTACTGATAGGGGATTTTCTGTCAGCAAGGATATTATGGAGACAAATATGAGTGAAATGTCTGTTATAGCTATGCGTATACCAAAGAAAATGATGCAGTACTGCAGGCAAGCCAGGCATCATTACCAAACATACTTGGATGCTCAGAAAACAAACAGAGTTGAAACAGAAAAACGACTCAAAAGGAATGTTCATCAGGAAGGCGTTGTGGCTAAAAAGAAAAGAAAATGAAGTGATTTTTTTGCTGAAAGATGCTGATGGACTGGCATTGAATGCTGAAAAGAAAAAGAAACTTGAACCTAAAACCAAATCACATGCTTATAGAACAAAGGCTGGGGAAATAAAAATTATTCATCTTGGTGAGGATATTGAGAGCCCCGAAAAGAAGTTGAAAGAAGAATAATGGTCCGATACTTCAAATCTGTCAGCTACACCATCCACTTCTAATGATGTGAGGGGCGGTGGGGTAGCCTAATCGTTAAAGCGTCCGCTTGTCACGCTGAGGACCCGAGTTTGATTCTCACTTGGGTACATTGTGTGAAGCCCATTGCTAGTGTCCCCTGCCGTGATATTGCTGGAATATTGCTAAAAGTGGCGTAAACCCTCACTCTAATGATGTGAATTCACAAAACTGATAGTGTCAGCCTAGCTGGTAGTGTCATAAGGCTACAGTTGCTGCAGATATAGTTTATAAAGTTGTTTTGGGTACCTTTTCTTAACATCATATTTGCTGCATTTGGTGTGCGATGTATTATATGTTCAAGTCACAGTTATTGAAAAAACGTTTTGTAAAGAAAAGGTTACCTTGAATTCAAAATACATAGTGTGAATTAACAAAATTGATTGTGGTTGAATCTAGTTGTCACGGTTGTACTGAATGTAAAATTATATCTTGCATGTTTATTCTTTCCAAATATGCCTTTGATAATATTGCAACATGATTTTGTGATCATGAAGAAATGTGTACCCGACTTTGAATGAAACAATTCAATTAAATCATTACTTTCACATTTATGCTCTTTGTCAAAAGCCTGTAATATAAAATACAAAGTTTTCAGATAATATATTAGTGCCTTAGAATATATATTTCATGGCTACACTCAAATGTATCTACTAGGACTAATGTTATGTGACATCGTGGCAGGAGAGTCAAGGAAAAATGTCCTCGTTACAAATATCATTGTTTTGGTTTATGTAATAAATTTTAATACATAATTATGTATTTATGATATGTGTTAAAGGAAATATCTTTAAAAGGTGGTTAGGACTGGCTGAAGGGGAGGGAGGAGGACAGTTTTTACACTTAAATGGTCAGGGGAAAATCTATACTTATCAGGGGAAAAGTCAGGGAATCTTGGTCTGCCATGCCTGTGGGAACCCGAAATCGCTCATTTTCCAAATGGGATATTGTACTTTTACTGTTGTCGGTTTGCCCGACTGTGACATTGAGTTGTCTCCCCTGATAGGGTACTCGAGTGCATGGCGAAGCATTCTAGTGCTTAGATATTTTTTGTCAACCTTACGTTGTCAACCTTACGTTGTTGAAAGCAACATGTGACGTGTATATATATTGTTTTCTGTAATATCACCCTTTGACACATTTCCTTCACCACCGGAGATTGGCGCGACAGAACCGTGTCCACAAATTGTGGCAGAGGAAGGTCACACACAGATATATTTAGCAGCAGGTCAAGATGTCTTCAGTTAAGAACAATACAGTGAATAATTCATTTATCCAGAGGATGCGAACGTTTACTTTATTATTGAACAAAACTCAAATACATTTTAAATTCACTCATGTTTAGTCCTCTTAAACAAATTGTGGAATTTAATACCTTTGGTTTATTGGGAACATCTTTGTAGCAAATCATATACACTGATAAAAATAAATACAGTGGAAAATCGCATGGAATTAATCACCATCTTCGTCACGACCACATAAATTACATTTCTTTTCAATAAATGGTATTGGTTCCAGATGGAAGCCCATGAACTGAGTTAGTAAGAAGGATTTACTTTTACATAATTTATCTCAGTTCTGTTCAACTTCACGTGGTAAACAATTCAAACGTACAAGAGATTGATCACATATTTTGTCTGCCTTTTGGTGGAATAAAATCGATAGCGGTTGCTTCGTGATCTAGCTACTCCCTTGCTTTGCTGAATACACTCATACTGTAACAAAACCACGAAACCTTTATTCGTGTGCTATCTCTGAAGTTTCCTCATCTACTTTAAAAGGTACTTCTCTGTCCTTTGTGTTAACAACACATATTATTACTTCTGACTGTTTTCAGACTCCTTAATACTCTGTATCATCTTCCAGTTTTTGAGTAAAATTGAGACCTTTTGTAGCCTATTCTGTAGCTCCTTTGAGTAAAATTGGTTTATCTGATTGAAGTAAAACTAGTACAAGAAATCTGTTACAATTTCTACAAAACAAAAATCTGAGAAGATATTAGAAGAATAACACCAGGCCCCGATTTCTCGAAAAAACTTAAGTTTTTACTCAAATTTCAAACTGCGTTTGACAAGTTTAAACAGTTGAATTTTTAACTCAACTGCGTTTTTAAAATAAAAAAGCCCAAACAACTTAAGTAATCTTTCCATCAAACTCAAATTGTCTGCTATGTTCGAGTTTAATATCGATGTCAGTTCATTCTGGGAAATGCATTTCCTCAAATTTGAGTAAAAACTCCTACTTAAGTCAAAACTCAGACTTCAGTTTCTTTCGAGAAATCGGGGCCTGATTCTATACATTGATACACATAATGCATTAAGGGAAAGAAATTACAGTTTACCTAAAAAATCATTAAATTACTTCATATACTTGTCTACAGTTAGTTTCCAATACAGTTAAACCTGTTTTGTCAGCTTTTAAATTTTTCTAAAATTTTAGTTCCATTATTTAGTGAAAACATTTGATCCGCATAACAAAGAAACATTTCTTCAACCAGATGGAACTTCTGTTGTCACGTTATTGTCATAACATTCTGACAAACGCATACTTAGAGAAGTGAACGATTACGAAACAAAACTTATAAGGATTGTCCCACTATAGTTTTCAGACGGTGTACAGTTAAATTTATTTTATATGTTTTATACATCCTTAATCAGTTTGTCGGGGGAATATCTTTTTCCAAGAAGAAGGTTTAAAATTGAAACATATGAACCGAACGCTTTTATTGGACGAATTTTGGTCGCTACTGTAGTTAAATAACCATATATCTCTATCGACACACACCTCCTTCATTACATTTCTTAAAATGCTCATCATTAATACAAATCATTTTATTTATTTATTTATTTATTTATTTATTTATTTATTTATTTATATTATTTATTTATTTATTTATTTACAATCATTTAGAATTTATTTATTTATTTATGTATTTATTTATGTATTTATTTATTTATTTATTTATTTATTTATTTATTTACAATCATTTAGAAGGCTATTTATTTATTTATTTATTTATTTAGAAGGCTATTTATTTATTTATTTATTTATTTATTTATTTATTTATTTAAGTTTTCAGATAATATATTAGTGCCT